TAATAGGTGCTACCATCCCGGTTCAGGGTGGACCTCGGAATACCAGCAATTAAGAGGTGGTTTCGCACTCCTCAAAGCCTCCCAATCAGAGGCCTTGCTGTTGGACGTAGTTTATCATCTTACCCTGGACGCGGATGTAGTTTATCATCATACCCAGGACGACAGAATGAAAGGGATTATCAGTGGTTGCAAATAAATGCAAGCATTAATGATATAATATTGACCCTGGAAAATGCTTGCAGATGGGTACAAGAGTTGACCCCATGCTATTAAAAACAAACAAGAGGAAAGTGCAAGGAAAAATACAACTAATAACTCTGGGGGAGAAGACAATAAACTCAAGCTGTATCTCACAGGACAATAATCTAATGGCTTAAAGAATTGATTCATGAATTTGGTGAAAGTAGAAAAGCTTTCTGCCTACACTATACGAGTTGTCTAATTTTTAATGTTAATATACTAATACCGCCACATGAAATAATGAACTGGCCTTATAGATGATTTAAAAAATTTTTTTTTATAAGAAAATACACAAGCTGGATTATCCAAACAGTATTGACTTATGGCAGAGTTCACTGGATACTCAGGGATTGTCATTGGTCAGGAATCAATGCAAGCATTACTGCCACTAAAGATATATTAGATATATAATGCAATATTATATATCCAGTCCAAAGAAAAATAGTTAAAGATGCCTTCCAAAAGCAAAGCATTAAGAAACAGGAAAATTCTGATAGGAATAAAGAAAAAAGTACTGAACTATTATATAATAACTGTAAGTTCTATGCTAACAGTTTTTTTTCTCATACTTCTTGCTTGCAGAACTCTTCTGGCTTCTTGCTTGTCAGTCAATTTTGATCTTCCAAAAATTTAAAATGCAATGGCAATCAATATCTTAATTCCTGTTCTTTTATTGTTTTCTTTTCTTAATTGTTTTTCTCAAATTCTTTCACACTCAGTATCCCATTGTGTCTTATTGGCCTTGTTTTGATTGAAATGATCAAAATAATAATAATAATAATAATAATGACAATAGTTTTCATGTAAATAATATAAATTATAATAAATAAAAATAGACAGAAAATATATCAGCATTGAAATTTAAAATTGGGGTGATAAATTATAAAATGGATTTGTGGTATTGTAAGTCTTAGGCTATGGTTTAATTTTAATCCAGAATTCTGCAATAAAATTTTTAAAAAATCTAATATCTTCTATGTGTCATATTCTTTCAGGATGTTGAAAATCATGGCTCTCCACAACTTCTCGTCTCTTGTAGCTCTTAGCAATGTTTGTCTTTTTGCTATCTCTCCTAAAATACAATAAATTGTTATAAATCTATAAAAATCTTTATCATCCGCTGTTTGGATTAACAATGGCTTGTTAGAGTTTATTCCATTTTTTTTTTTTTTTTTAACTTGATAAACAAATAGTTTAATCTGACTTACCATTGTTGATTTCTTTACCACAGACCCATGGCAAAGGAAAAATGACAGACACTCCAAAATAATAGAGACTCCAAGACATCAACACACTGTCATACATACTGATTAATGTAGACACCACAATCATGGCCCAGCTAATTCCTGGAAATTAAAAAATCAAAAAAAAAAAAAATCAAAGTCTGACTGAAACATTGAAATGGATAAATCATGTATTAATTTTTCAACAGCTGTCATAGTTTAATTTCTAATTCCAACACAAACTCAGTCTATATACCAGGGTTGAATAAGACTAACAAAGTTTTCATCAGTTGAAATAAGTCTATACCACATATCAGGTAATTTTGGATTTTATGGTTTACTGCTATATATATATATATATATATATATATATATATATATACACACACACACCCAAACAAGGTGCAGCATAAATATTTGCACATTATCTAAATGTAAAAATAAACATTTATCCATCATATAATCATAAAATGAAGCATACCTATTTATAAAAATAGTTTCCTAACATTCTTTCGTTTTATTCTTTGCACGGACAACCAATTTCACACAAAATTGGTGCAAGAGACATTTTCATGGATTTTTTAACAAGTCAATTTGGCCTGAAATCAAGCCCTGACATTAATCTCTGAGGCTTTGCAATATGGTGTATATTGGAGAAAGATGTTTCACATATCTCATACTAAAGTGTGCCAGACTTAGAAAAAACTGACGACATTGTGGTACAATTTGAGGAAAGAGCTGCTAAGAAGTCTGGAACTCCATTTGAAAAGAGATTAAGGGCATTGGTGAAAGTAAAGGGTGGCCATTTTGAATTTTAAATATATGTAAAATATTGTGACTAAATCTAACAATCAACCTGTAAATTTTCATTAATGAAAACCTAAAACGTCTGCATATATTTCTGAGATGAAATATTGTAACTATTTACACTGTTTGGACTTTGTCCTCACCATTATTGTCATATCCACATTTCGACTGTTGTATGCCTTCTTTAGGTGATATACAGTAGAATTTCAAACCAATCCATTTATTTAGTCCTAAGGGTAGATTGTTCAAGTTCCATGTACCAAGCCCTTTCTAGATGTGTCTTTCAGTTAAATTCCCTTTAATAACTCAACTCTCCAAGGTTTTGTTCATCTCTGTCGTATAGAAGTCACAGCTCTTTGGGTCAAATCACTTTGGATTACTTCAACCAACACTGAAACTGAGACACCCAGAAAAGGCAAAGGCATGGCACGTGGAACTAGAACAATGGACTAAATAAAGGATTCAGACAACAGTATTGCTGCCATATATGGTCTGGAGCCTCTTCTGTTTGCCTCGGGGTTCTTGATAGGCTCCAGAGGCGGATATGCAATATAATTGGCCCTGATCTGGCATCTCGTCTACAGTCACTTTCTCACAGACGTGCCGTCACCTCTGTCAGTTTTACAAATACTTTCATGGTAATTGCTCCGAGGAGCTGCATTCGCTGGTTCCCAGACTTCATGAGTTCAAGTGCCCTCGAGGCTGGCATCCTGCTCTCACCCCTTCACTGTCGAAACTCCTAAATGTAGCCGTCTCTTCTACTCCAATAGCTTCATATCTCGCACCTCTCACCTGTGGAACTCCCTTCCCTAGTCCAGTTTCCCTGAGAGCTATAATCTCCAACTATTCAAATGTAATGTTAATTGACATCTCCAGTTGTCTTGATCTATCCACTACCCTTCTCCTATCTGATCTTGCTACAAATCATCTTCTGTAACCCCTTGCATCCTAGTGGCTTTTCGCCTTGCTTGGGGTGAAACGCTTAAAAAAAAAAAAAAAAAAAAAAAAAAAAAAAAATATGCAAATAGAAAACCTAAAACTTTATGACAAAATGAATAATATGTAAATGTATATACCACACCTGGTGTGTGTATATATATATATATATATATATATATATATATATATATATAAAAGAAATGGACAAAGTCCGACAATTTATTTATTAAAGACATTTTTATGTTTAACGTTCTTTTTATAGATACAAGTATTTAAGTAAATGCTCTGTTTATAATAAACAGTATTAGATAACATTTACCGGCCTGAATGTCCGAGAAATTTTCATAGAAAATATTTGTTCTTTGACAGGATTCGGACCTGCATCCTATACGGAACCGTCATTTACGCTGACGTGCCTTACTGATCGGCCACAAAGCAGTAAATTCGACCTTGTCTACCGAACGCTTCTTTGTGGCCGACCGGTAAGGCACGTTCAGTGTAAATGACGGTTCCAGATAGGATGCAGGTTCGAATCCTGTCAAAGAACGAATATTTTCTATGAAAATTTCGGACATTCAGGCCGGTAAATGTTATTTAATACTGTTTATTATAAACAGAGCATTTACTTAAATACTTGTACCTATAAAAAGAACGTTAAACATAAAAATGTCTATAATATATATATATATATATATATATATATACATACACACACACACACACACACACACACACACACACACACACACACACACTACAGTTCAAAAGTTTGAAGCCACCCCCAGAATTAGCACGAGATGAACTTGAAAGAAGAGGAGAAAAAAAAAAAAGTGAAAACGAGCTTAGAGGAATTGATAAAAAGTATGGAATCAATTATCAAAATTATCCTTTGAGAAACTTTTGCAACGGTTGCCAACAATTTGTGCTGCAGTAATCAAGGCTAAAGGGGGACATTTTGACGAGAGCAAAATGTAATCATAAGATGTTTTTCTGCTTTTTGTCATAATAAAATTTCTAATAAAAAATCTTATCTCACTTTTTTTTTAACCATGTATAATAATTTCCTCTTATTTAAAGTACAAAACTACTTTTGGGGGCCAATTTACAAAATTATCGAGGGTTTCCTCAAACTTTTGAACTGTAGTGTATATACAAATGGCAAAGAGATAAAAAAACACGTAAAATGTTTCATCTTCTGAAAAGGACTTCAGCAGACTAAAGTCAGTCAGTTATGTGCCATGCGTAATACACGCTTAGGTGATCATGCATCTTTCCATACATGACTGACGAGGCAGGTTTTTTTCCACAGTAGGTTGCCATTTCTTTCTGCAAGTAGGCCAGTTGCCATTCAAGGCTATAGAACCTGGTCTGTCCTGCTATTTACCCATAGCTGGGGGGAGAAGAAGAGGATTCATACCTTTCCCAAGGGTATCAGCATGTAAGTGAATGTAATGGATCTGACTGGAATTCAAACTCAGCTCTCTGATTCCTCAATCAGAGCCGCTATCCATTTCTCCACCATGCCCCCTAGACTAGTGATGGAATTACATGTATGCAGGGGGAAGGGAAAATATAAATTTAATTTAATTCCTTGTGGGGTTGCATCAGGCTTTTGCCAGTTTTTGGTACACACCAACCCAAACAAGAACGGAAATGTAATGTTGAGCAGTCACTGACCAATCTATAAGAAGTCTGGTAAGAATTCTGTTGTACATTTACAAATAAAAATCTACATAGAATAAAGCTATTCATATGAACAATAGTATACTATCTATTCATTTATGGCTTACAGTTCTTGTACAATCACCAAAGTTAAGCAATATCGAGCCAGGTCAGTACCTACATGGGTGACCACTTGGGAATACCAGGTGCTGTAAACTTGGATGGTGTAATGGATAACAGCTCAGAATTGGAAATCAGAGAGCCAAGTTCCAATACATGCAAATACCCTTGGGAAAGGTATGATCCACTTCTTCCCCCATCTATGGGTTAATTAGTAGGATTTTTATCACTAAATCATTATTATCTGCCAAAACATTCTTACCATCTAAAAATATTTTCTGGGTTTAAATAACCTGCAAATGGTTGATAAGCCATAAAAAATAAGTTACCACTGCCAATTTGTCTTGTGAGACAGACAATTTTGAAAGAGTGAAATTTACCCAAAATAATCAGAGACAGAGTATTGGTAAGAGATCAGAACTCAAGGTTCATCAGTTTAAGGTAAAAATGATGTTACGGTAGAAGAGAGAGAGTGAGAAAGAGGGAAAGAACATGAGAGGGCTTAAATATGACTGACCTTTAGCCAGGGGCATGATTCTCCAGACCAGCACAGGTCCACCTCTTGCATACTGGCCAATGCAAGTTTCGAGGTAAATCATTGGAAGGCCACATACAAATACGAGGACAAGATATGCGACGCAAAAGGCTCCTGAAAAGACAGAAATTATAATTGAATCACCAAATTGGAATTTTTGAGTAGAAAGAAAAGACATGCTAAAAAAAGCAAACAAAAACCAAAAAAAAAACATTGCATCTTTTTTTTTCTACAATAATGTTCTTGTACAAGGCTGAAGAGCCACTCAAGGTAGAGGGTTACAACGTACGAGATAAAAGATTGTTTCTCTCATACTTCTTGCTTGTGAGACCCACTTCCAGCTTCTTAGTCAACTTTGATCTTCAAAAATTTAAATGCAATGTCAATCATTATTTTTTGTCTTAATTCTAGTTCTTTGATTGTTCTTATATTAATTTCTCATATTCTTTTACAGTGAGTAACCCATTACATCTTAGTGGCTTTATTGCCTTGCTTGGGGACAAAATGATTAAAAAACAGAAAAAACCCCAAAAGATAACAGTTAACCCCAGACTTGAACAGGTTAAGGTGATGATGATTAGAGAAGCATCCCCTAGGGAGTCAATTCTACAAAGTAGTGGCTTATGGGAAGAAACTGAAATTGCATCCCTCCAATGGAACATGGAGGGAATGAGGGTTGTTTGCTAAAATGTCTTTAGCATGGTGAATCTTAGCTATGGAGGTTAGAACTTGTGAAACAAGAAATGTAAGCTCATTTCAAAAGTTTTCCATAGCAAGAGGCTTGAAATGTTTAATCTGTGGGAAAAGGATTGTCATGTGTAAAATAATTCATCACCCATAAGGTCGTTTAGACATTTTTGGTCTCACCTCATGTCCATATATGGTAAGCAGTATTCCATTCTTGGCCTGAGATGGCTTCTTGTAAAGGTAGCAAGATGAGTCAGTCAGTTACTGGAATGTTACAGGAAACTAACCATTTTTCCAGCAATGGATCATACGTAAGAGTTTCACTTGAGGTGTGGGGGTAAGCTTAATCCCTGATAGACAGTTCCCATTCTTTGATTGCCTAAGAGAACACCCATTCATTGCGATAGATGAAAACTCAGGGTCTGTTCTCTGATGATGGAGCCTCACTAGTTGGGGTTTTGTGGCAATGAATGTGACCAACTAACTTTTCTCCTGCATTGAGCTGTTCAAGCAAGGCTAGAGGAGAAATCAACCTTTAGATTATCAGTATAGAAATAAATGACATAAAACAATCTTTTCTACATATAATATATAAAAAAAAAAAAAAAAAGATCAACAACACAATTTATATGTATCTTATTAAATCCTGGGGATGACAAACTACATCCGGCAGCAAGGCCTCTCATCAGGAGATTTGAGGGTTTGAGGAGCATGGAATCACCTTGTTGTTGTTCTCAGGTTCACCCTAACCTGGGGTGGTAGCATCTGTCAGGGTCCCAGCTATGGGTTAAATAGTGAGCTCCCAAACAAAACAAAAAATACTATGAAAGTACAAAAACACATTTTTATAGTAAAAATACCAGTAATACATTTTCATATCAAAAACTTACCAACAATACCTATTTAAAGTAAAATTACCAAAAATACATTTTTAAAGCAAACTGACCAGCAATACATTTTATAGTAGAACTACTAATAATACATTTTATCTGGAGTTGAAGGCATACAATTGCATTCAAAATATTTAGATTTCGGTATTAAATAACTCATAGAGGTTGATATGCCGCTAAACAAAATCAACCAACCAACATGAAAGAACTCTTTCATGACATTAATCCATATAATACTCTAAAATTTCTTAAAGAAATCAAAATGTATTCAAAAATACAAACTTAACACAACTAAAACAAAACTTACATATCACTACCTTTAGTAATTATGTCTACATGAGAATCATCTACCATGTACTCAATTGTGAAAGCAGAATAATATATATCATTTTTTATTACTTCAAAGCACCCCAAAAAATTAAATTACAACATTAAATGACCCATGAGGAGTTGATGTGCAATTAAATCAATCAATCATACATATTTTATTAAAGATTGAATTCATTTTTATAGCTTATCAACACTTTGCAGGTTATTTAGTGCCAGCAAATATTTTTATATTGTAATAATTTTTTTGACATAATAGTGGTTCAGTAATACAAGTCTTACTAATTAACCCATAGATGGGGGACAGAAGTGGTGGATTCATACCTAATCAGAATTTGATAAACAAAAAAGAAATTTAATATGGATGTAAAGTGGGGGATCAACTCTATATTACAGTCAATATATAAACTGATCTCTCATTTTCTAACACTGTAGTTTCTATACATTTATATTCCAGAGAATATAAATAAATCTAAAAGACATGCCTTTCTAGCTGATCAGTATTTCATTGATTGATTCGTTTTCTATGGCTTATCAGCACATTTCAGGTTCTTTAGATTGTAAGAAATTTTTTTTTGAGGTAATCAATGTTTAGTGATACAAGTTTTACTAATTAACCCATAGCTGGGGGAAGTGGATTCATACATTTGTGTGTAAGTGAATATAATGAAGCCATCAGGAATCAGAACAAGTTTCCAATTAACAATACTAAGCCATTATCCGGGGTATGAATCCATCTCTTCTCTCCCCAGCTATGGGTTAATTAGTAAGACTTGTATCACAAAACAATTGTTATATCAAAAAAAAAAAAAAAAAAAAGAAATAGATAAATAAAAAATTACAATCTGAAGATATTCTCTGGCTTTAAATAACCTGCAAAGTGTTGATAAGCCATAGAAAACGAATCAATCAATCAATGAAATACTGATTAGCTACACAGGCATGTCTTTTAGATTTATTTACATTCTCTGGAATAGAAATGCATAGTAACTACCGTGACCACAAAGTGAGGGATCATTTTATGTATCGATTGTAATTGAGAATTGATCCCATACTTTATATCCACATAATTTCTTGTTTATCAGATTATGTACGAATTCACCTCTTCTCCCCCAGTTATGGGTTAATTAGTAAGACTTGTAACACTAAACCATTATTATCCCCCTAAAATCCTTATAATTTAAAAATATTATTTGACTTGAAATAACCTTCAAAGGGTTGATAAGCCATAAAAAATTAGTCGATAAAAACAATTTTCCTCCCAGCTAGGAGTTAAATAGTAGAAGAAACTGGGCTCTTCAGCCTTGGTTCGCATAGGGACAACTCTGAATTCAAAATGGACCTCCTGATGAAGTGCATACTATGCAGCTAAGGAAAAGATCATGGCATTTACAATGACTAGGATCAACTACAGTCATCTTCCTTGGCAAGTTGGACAAAAGTCAGCAATGTGAAGGAGCGTTGTCTTACATTAATATACTCTTTAGCTTAAAACTGCTTTGTTGTGATGTGTACCTCGAAAATGTTTTATCCAAGAACTTACAATAGTTCTCTGCATTTATCTTGAGCTATCATCTTCAAAAGGGCTCAATGATTTTATGCCAATTAGGCTAAAACATTAGCCTCATCCCCAATTGTTTGACAATTTACATGAAGGATTTGAAAAGTGACTCGGCTATCAGATCCATTCAATGAAGACAAACAAATCTGAATTAAAAACATTGAGAAAGTACTCTATCTTTCCTAAGCAAATCGATAGTCAAGTTCACAGGTTGACATGTGTCCCAATACACATTCGACTCCATAAGAGGTGTTAGTCTGTGCCAGAGTTCACAGAGGTGCAGGTCCATACATGAATCAACTACATTGCCAGCCCACACAGGGATCCATGGAGGTGTAGGTTTGCACACGAATCCATGGAGGTGCCAGTCCGCCCATGAATCCACAGTGGTACCAGTTTGCACATGAATCCAAAAAGGTGCAGGTCCACACCCATATCTACAAAAGTGCCAATCCACACCAGTGCCCATATGTAAACACCAGATCCAGTTCAAACTTAAATCTAAATTGTGATCCCCCTTCTTTTAGGATGTAGCCTTACCCCACCACAATGAATACAGTTGGTACATTCTCAGCCCCACTGACAAGATAAAGTTAAAGTAGGAAAAGATGAGAAAATATAGTACAGAAAAAAATGCATCTAATGCTTGAGTGCATGAGAACAGTTCTGGTGAAGCTATTTGTAAACACATTCTTTATGAAAAGTTGCAGCCAAACGTTTTGACTACAAAGTCGGGAGAAAATTACAGTTGCTTCTCAATTGCATTTTTGCAATGATTCCAGATACAATGAGAATGAAGGAAAAATAGAAAAGAGAGCTTTCAAAGCAGAAAGGCATGTCTGATGGGAAAAAAAAGTTCAGCTAAGAAAATATCATTGCCAGAAATAAGGTAATAATGTTCAAGGGTAGAGAGAAGAATTTGATGGAAGAAGCAGACATTTAGCAGATGAAGAAATTTTGTTTTCTCAAATGTTCTGTTACTAGCAGATAATCTTTATTTTGTCAATACCTGGATGCTACAAGAATTAGATTTATTTGCTAACAAGAAAATCCTGGAGAAGCAGCTTGGTTTCACAGGTGTAATTTCCACCAAAA